GAACAAGGTCACTTCACTTCTATTAAAATGACCACAGGGATAGGGGATCCATTATCGTTCGGCTTTCGTTGTATGAAATATTCATTTTAGTCATCTGAAAACTTTCTCTTTCTACGTTGTCCTCAGTTAGGACATACCTCTATGTTTAACAATCTAATCATTTGTGGGTGTTTTCGGTTACCGAGAATATCCGGAATATGTTGTGTGTGTTGAAATTCCCCACACAAGAGTGGTATCTTGTTTAGCACTGCAGTGTAAGCAGTAATCTTCTCAGAGAAGTACACCGATTCTCTCAATACAAAATGGCATGCTGCCAAGCGTTTCGTATGTCAGAGCCGGCTCTAAATATCACCAACTGCACATCTATACAAGACAAGCACATAACCTGCTTCCAGAATTAGCTCACGTGTGTATAAATATAGATCAGTGGCCTGGTGAAGCTTTCGCGTCATATTTCGGCCTATCTTTTATCTGGTTATTGGTATTGTATATGATCCATACTACACACAACAAATTATTGTTGATCTTAGCAAATTGTTTATTTGCTGTTTCCAACGATCACGATGGAAATTTTTAATTACAAAATCATAAATTAATCAGTTCTATGGAAAATCATTTAAGAAATTATTTTGATTTTTTATCCAAGGAAACTCTCTTAGTTTTAACTATTGTAGAGTTTTTAAGAAATTTTACACTTAATATCGAAACGTATTGCCTTTGTACTCAGTGAAAATCATTCTTTTGTTCATATTTCACCCTAGTTTTACTAGATTTGTGTTTGGATTGTAATTCTGTTGGCATGTTTTCATTTCTTTCACTTGGTGATTTATTCGACATTCTTGTAATTTCAAAAGATGCTTATTTTTAAAAGAAATATTTGTTTCAGTAGATATAATGTACAATTCTTTAGTTTACACTCTCCGAGATAAAGCAAAATCATATGAAGCAGATATATTGTCATAATGATACATCAATATTTTCTCTATAATTACAAACATTATAATATTTCAGCTCGGTTTAGTTCTTATGATTGTAGCTCAAGCTTAATTTATGCACACAGGAAAATATATGAATTGAGTTGAAATTTAGCTTTTATGCCGTCATATGTTAAACACGAAATCATCAAAAATTAAGCAATTATTGTGCTCTTGAAGAACATTTCATCGTTAAATATTGAAACATATTTCATTGACATAAGCATAACAGAGCAGTAAACTGTCAAATTAATGCCCAATAATGTTTAACATACATATAAATGTTTTACAAAAAGTAAGACATTTAGTTGATAATGTTTCAACTTATAGTATATCTATCATCTAATTTCAAAACAAACAGTAGTTAGTGGTATTATCGTTCATTTAATCGATTAATGAAAACTGAAATATTGATATAGCATTTCAAGTACACATGAAATCAAAAACATATATAAAATGTGACTGCAATAATATATTTAATGAAAATTGGAAGCATTTCTCCGCGAGGTCTCGCTGTCATGAAATGGTTCCACTAGGTTATCGATTCCAGTGTCTAGCAAGTGTAGGGGAATGGAACTCAAGCGGTTGCCACAGTGACGGTTCCAATGCTAGATATTAGCCAGTCCTGGAAGGAGGCGGTTCTTGGACGCGCTAACGAGAAAGAACAGAATTATTGATTTATCGAGTTAATGCGGTGTGCTTGAGCTGATTAGATTCTATTAGTTTACTGAACTCTCACCTCTACGTTTAAACTCAGTTTTCCACAAGGTCATTAAGGGACGTAAATCATAACTAAGATAATATTGATAAACAGGAATGGAAATATTTCTTTTATAAATAAGTGTATTGGGATAAGTAAACATGTTTTCAATAATATGGAATATGTATTGATGATTGATTGGACCTCATAAAATCGGAGTATATACTGAACCGTCCTCAATAAAATGGAGTACATAAAGATAGGCCTCAATAAAATGGAGTACATAAAGATAGGCCTCAATAAAATGGCGTACATACAGATAGATACTCAATAAATCTGAGTATATACACAGAGCGGTCCTCGTAAAAGCGGAGGACATAAAGATAGGCCCTCAATGAAACAGTGAATGTATTGAGAGGTTGGCAATAAAACAGAGTAATAACAGATAACTCCCGAATAAAACGGAGTATCTACAGATAGGTCGTCAATAAAACTATGTACAGAGAGGACCTCAATAAAACTATGTACAGAGAAGTCCTCAATAACACTATGTACAGAGAGGACCTCAATAAAACTATGTACAGAGAGGACCTCGATAAAATTTTGTACAGAGAGGACCTCAATAAAACTATGTACAGAGAGGTCCTCAATAAAACTATGTACAGAGAAGTCCTCAATAAAACTATGTACAGAGAGGTCCTCAATAAAACTATGTACAGAGAGGACCTCGATAAAACTATGTACAGAGAAGTCCTCAATAACACTATGTACAGAGAGGACCTCAATAAAACTATGTACAGAGAGGACCTCGATAAAATTTTGTACAGAGAGGACCTCAATAAAACTATGTACAGAGAGGTCCTCAATAAAACTATGTACAGAGAAGTCCTCAATAAAACTATGTACAGAGAGGTCCTCAATAAAACTATGTACAGAGAGGACCTCGATAAAATTTTGTACAGAGAGGACCTCAATAAAACTATGTACAGAGAGGTCCTCAATAAAACTATGTACAGAGAAGTCCTCAATAAAACTATGTACAGAGAGGACCTCAATAAAACTATGTACAGAGAAGTCCTCAATAACACTATGTACAGAGAGGACCTCAATAAAACTATGTACAGAGAGGACCTCGATAAAATTTTGTACAGAGAGGACCTCAATAAAACTATGTACAGAGAGGTCCTCAATAAAACTATGTACAGAGAAGTCCTCAATAAAACTATGTACAGAGAGGTCCTCAATAAAACTATGTACAGAGAGGACCTCATAAAATTTTGTAAGAGAGGACCTCAATAAAACTATGTACAGAGAGGTCCTCAATAAAACTATGTACAGAGAAGTCCTCAATAAAACTATGTACAGAGAGGACCTCAATAAAACTATGTACAGAGAGGTCGTCAATAAAACTATGTACAGAGAGGACCTCAATAAAACTATGTACAGAGAGGTCGTCAATAAAACTATGTACAGAGAAGTCCTCAATAAAACTATGTACAGAGAGGTCGTCAATAAAACTATGTACTGAGAGGACCTCAATAAAACTATGTACAGAGAGGACCTCAATAAAACTATGTACAGAGAGGTCGTCAATAAAACTATGTACAGAGAAGTCCTCAATAAAACTATGTACAGAGAGGTCGTCAATAAAACTATGTACTGAGAGGACCTCAATAAAACTATGTACAGAGAAGTCCTCAATAAAACTATGTACAGAGAGGACCTCAATAAAACTATGTACAGAGAGGACCTCAATAAAACTATGTACAGAGAGGTCCTCAATAAAACTATGTACAGAGAAGTCCTCAATAAAACTATGTACTGAGAGGACCTCAATAAAACTATGTACAGAGAAGTCCTCAATAAAACTATGTACTGAGAGGACCTCAATAAAACTATGTACAGAGAAGTCCTCAATAAAACTATGTACACAGAGGACCTCAATAAAACTATGTACAGAGAGGACCTCAATAAAACTATGTACAGAGAGGACCTCAATAAAACTATGTACAGAGAAGTCCTCAATAAAACTATGTACAGAGAGGACCTCAATAAAACTATGTACAGAGAGGACCTCAATAAAACTATGTACAGAGAAGTCCTCAATAAAACTATGTACAGAGAGGACCTCAATAAAACTATGTACAGAGAGGACCTCGATAAAATTTTGTACAGAGAGGACCTCGATAAAATTTTGTACAGAGAGGACCTCGATAAAATTTTGTACAGAGAGGACCTCGATAAAATTTTGTACAGAGAGGACCTCAAGAAAACTATGTACAGAGAGGTCGTCAATAAAACTATGTACAGAGAGGACCTCAATAAAACTATGTACAGAGAGGACCTCGATAAAATTTTGTACAGAGAGGACCTCGATAAAATTTTGTACAGAGAGGACCTCGATAAAATTTTGTACAGAGAGGACCTCAAGAAAACTATGTACAGAGAGGTCGTCAATAAAACTATGTACAGAGAGGACCTCAATAAAACTATGTACAGAGAGGTCGTCAATAAAACTATGTACAGAGAGGACCTCAATAAAACTATGTACTGAGAGGACCTCAATAAAACTATGTACAGAGAGGACCTCAATAAAACTATGTACAGAGAAGTCCTCAATAACACTATGTACAGAGTATATACAAAAGAATCCGCTATAAAATGGAGTACATAAAGATATATTCTAAATTAAATTGAGTATCTACGTATCTGTGATAAAGATTCAGTGGAAAGGTTGTACAGATAAAGCCTTGATATAATGAAGTATGTACACATGGCTCCTCACTGAAACGAAGTATGTATGGATAGGTCCTCAGTTAAACGGAGTATATAAATTGTTCCCCAATGTTGTGTACGATCTTCGTTGGCAATTTAATCTGCACAGATAGGTCCTTATTCGTCGAATTTGTGACATGGAAAGGGTGACATGTGGGGTTCAGTAATTTACATCTTTATATGTAGCAACTTGTCATATACATACGATCTTTCAAGGCAATTGTCCTAAGCGTTCAGCAATAAAGAAGATGCCCATCTTGTTCTAAATATGATTTTCAAAAGAACAAATCCCTTGCTGGTTTATGTACAATAGTGTCAATAATTTCGATATCGATTTACAGAAAAGCTATAACAAGCGTAAAACGTTTTTGTCAATCACCAGGTAAACGAATTCTGATTTGAAAAAAGAAAGATTTTTGGTACGTAATGGTAAATGTCTGTGTCAAAATTTGATTTTGTTGTTTTCGTTTCTCCAAATTTTATCTTAATGAAAATCACAATGTTATGTTGGATTATATTTGTAATAATATTTTTATCTCGCTTCTTTGTAGTCAGTCGTGCACAAGTCTGGATTCAGGAGTTTGGCTGATGGAGAGGAGGTGGAGTTTGAAAGCAAACCCTCCGATAAAGGCGTGGAGGCGACGTTTGTTTGTGGCCCCTCCGGATCCGAGTGCAGGGGCAGTGACAGACGGCCACTTTCACGGAAGAAATTCAGAAAAATAAGGTGATTTGAAGTTCTTCAAATCCAGTAGTGCATAGAACGTACCATTTTAGTGAAATTTGTAGGGGAAGTCTCTTAAACAGCATGAAGTGTAATATTCTTAGTAGATAGTTGGCAGAGTGAAAATGTCTAAAATTGTATAAGACACATAAGCAAGATAATTAATTATTTGTCTTAATTAGAATGAAAATGTTTTCAAGCGTGTAAATATTTTAATGTTACACATACACGCTTAGAACAAAAGGCACACAGGCGAATGGCAGTTTTGAATACAAATTTAGAACTAGATAAATTCAGCTCAAGTTATGCATCAAACTGCACTTTACTTGGTTTCCAAACGAATTCGGCTTGACAGTGATGCGAGGGGCGTATAGTATTGAAACCAAGGAAACAAATCACAAAAATCATATCATTAATTGGAATTTTGGTGAAATAATCGAAAATTCAATAACATTTCATGATTTAGATTTTAAAACAGTAGCATGTACATATTCCGAATCGTGTCAGAAATTTTAGGCAGTTGTAGTCAATAAAAACGAAATAAAGCAATTGTAATCATTCGAAACAAAGAACGTTATGACCATTACAAAAACCTATATTACTTATAAAATGAGTGTTTTGTTTTATAGCCTTGTATGTATATTCTCTTAAGTTGAATTTTCTGCCCGCATTATTTATGAAAAAAATGTTCCTATATTTTTTTCATTTCTGAGTTGTTTAAATCAAAAGACATTGAAAAATTCATTACAGATACCCGTGGTTGTGATAATGTGAAAGTTCCGTTATTGATTTCGAAGCTCCCCTAAGTCCGTCATTCCAAATTACTTACAGTTTACATCATGCTTCGTAGTTAATCTGATTCAGTGTAGAGGCTATGAAATGGTGTGGCGATGTCATGTCCCTCTGACGGTATTGAAGCTGAAACAGAAAATTGTATTTGGAATAAAGACCGAAATGTTCTAAGATTCTGGTTACAAAATAATTGAAAATTAAAAGGATAATAATTATTTACGCAAAATCAGCAAAAGCCACAGAAAACACTTTGTATATTCAGTCTTTCAAACACAATTTGTGGTATTAAGTCGGTTTGTTTCATACCCAAGAACCTCTGTAGGTCCTAAGTATCTCAAGCGAGTCCTAGAAGGACGTAACAGATATCTGGTATTATTGTATCTAACACAAGATTCGGATGAAAAGCTGCTATTCATATTTGTGTACAATAATTTATGAACATATAAAATCATTTTGCAATCAAAATATATTACTCTGTAAAATTAATAGGAAAGAGATGTAATTACAAGTAACACAAAAGTTTAGCATTGTCTAAAAAGCAAACATACGTATCCTTCATATACTTACACTAAAAATGTATCTTATCCTTTCTATACTTACACTAAAGGTAATAAATATTTGACATTTTACAGTCGCACTTTATAACAAAAACATGAAGATGAAGATTCTTACAATCGCTTATTCCAATAGATTCTGAAGTTATTAAAACTCATAATAAATCCGCTATTCTAGGTATGGAATATCTAGGGCTATTGTTGTTAAGACTCTGTATTTCGCCTCCAGCGTGTGACTTTAAGTAGGCGCACATATATCTCAGGTTGTAATATTTTAAGCGTCTATACATATCAGCAAGTTCATAGTGACTGATTTTTTATGGGAGAAATAGAATATATAATATGGTTAGTGGGGACATTGTTTGAATAAGTTTTTTCACACATTTTTTTCAAATAAATATGCACATTGCCTTATTCATCGCATATCTTTTTTGTTTTCTCTGACAAATATTTATTTAAACTCTTTTTGTTTACATTTTGAATATTTGAATATGTTAATTATGTGTTTGTAACCCCTTGGATTAATGAATTGTAGTCCGGTAACATCTAACTAGTACATGGTCTTTTCAATATCCCGTTTTTAATTCTGTGTTCACAGGTGCTACAATTGCGGAGATCTAGGGAACCATATAGCGGCTAAATGCCCACATGGTCCCTTACCAAAACGCTGCCACAACTGCAAGTCCGTCGACCATTTGATAGCAGACTGTCCAATGAAGGAGCCAGTGAAGCGGTCGCGTAATGATACAAACGGCGGAGGGGCTTCCGGTTTAGGAAATGGGCATGATGCAGACCACGGGGGTAACATGTTTTACCCCGTTTGATGAGAAGATATTTCCACAGATGGATCCCAGAGCACTGTGACGTCATCATGAAGTGATCCGGATGTGACTGTAGAAAAGTAATTAAGTCTGTAATGGCCGAAAGGAGATCACCAAGTCAAAGTTTACGCACATTTTGTTTTTCAAAAAGTCGTATTTTTAAATTGACAAATACTATCACCTCATGTAGGTTATTGTTTAGATTGTGTTTATCATGTGTTACAAGAGTTCATTTGACGCCTGGTTGTCCAAGCAATATAGCTAAAAATTCAATTTCAATAAAATTTTTATTCTGTGATAAAAATTGAAATTGATCTCAATCAACTTATCCGAGGATTGGTTCCTGATTTCGAGATACATCAAAATTTGCTGACAGAACACAAGGGTCATGTGATTACTCAGTATCGTGTCCATCGTTTGGATTTTGGAATTGTGCTATGAGTGACGAAGACTATGGAGCGAGCAGTTGTCTTTCCGTGACTTTTATTCAACGTGATCTACCTCATCAACGTTATCTGAATTCCGTATTATCTGTAATGTAACTTGTTATACACGTGTAAATGGTATATATCTTGTAAGTTTTGATGATGTATTAACATGTGTTGGTCAGGAAATTTTCAAGCATTCTAATCACGTTTCAATAAAAAAATAATATGTCACTTTAAAAGAAAGTAAGTGATTTTTCAAAACGTTATGAGAAAAAAATTTCTGGTATATCCTATTTTTATCAGTATCATTTTTAAACGTAATATCTAAACTGCCAATGATTTTTGTTTTGTGATTTTGAAAATTTGATTATCTCTGAATTTTTCCTGATTAACAAACTTTTAAAAAAAAATAATATTTAACCTTTTTCCAAACCTACCTCATATTTGTGGGGTTGCTATGTAGTGATTTGAGACATGTCGTACTCGTGTAGGTTTTGATACCGGAATTATTTTGCATTGCCGTTCTTATAAAAAAGATGATTTTAACGAGAGAACACACGACCACATTAAATTACGACTGTATGTATAATTAGATTTTTTTCATAGCATTTTTAAAATTGGTTTATGTTATTTTTCTAGGTGCTTTAAGACGTGACATCTGTTCATTATACATATACAGAGTCAGTTTTATCCTGGTGACAAATTGTAGACGAATTATCAACAAACTTATATCCCAAATACGATAGTGAAGTATAAGGCAGCTGTCAAATATTGACAAAGTCTAGGTGAATTGATCATAATAAGAGTTCAGAAATATTCATGAAGTTTGAGGAAATATATTACAAAAATTACTACAACATTACTATTGAGCTATAGAAGATTCCAAACCAAAGCAAGATTATTCTCGAGTTATTTAGTTTTCATTGTATTTTTCATGATTTAATGGTGCTTGTCTACCTAGTCAAGTATCGATTTACGTTTTTTTTGTTATTATGTGGAGGAAGGATTCGTCTGATATGTCATATATCTATCTTCATTCCTGACGTCATACATAATGTATGTATCACGTGATCAAAATATGTATATGTGATTACGTGCTAAAACATTATGTGTATATTGTGCTGAGACATTTTGTCTGTCACGTGATCAAATATCAATTGTTTATCACGTTATTAGACATTGTTTACATCCTATGTTCAGTAGAATGTAAATTTAGTGATTATTATGTGTACCACGTGAACAAACGTGCAAGTCACATGACCAAGCATTACTTACTCTTCCCAATCAAACACATCGTTTATAAATAATGTATCTTTAAAGCATTGATGGTAAATCATTAAAAGATCAAACCACATAGAAAATATCACGTCTTATAAACACATGTAGTAATGGCAACGATATATTTTTTGTCAAATATATGAAATCAGTTTTACCTGAAAATTGATGAATTTATATGCTTTGGAAAGTATTAAAATTTCCTGTATTGTTCTTACCGTAATTTGCAAATGATAATCAATGAGGTATGTTGAGCCAAAGTGTTGACTTTAGATGCACTTGAGTATTCTTATTTTAACATTGCATTAAGGCATTATGGTTGTTTATTTGTTGTTATTGTTGCAAGTGTCGGTATTTTGCAATGGCCATCTTAGAAAATATGCATGAAGCATTTGGTTTTGTATATCTGATCATTTCGATTGTAAAATCATCACAAACGAACGCAAGATGTCTTGAAAATACTATTACCTCAATAACATTGCATTATCATTATATCAATATTTTTTTTCAAATTGGAAACCGTAACAAAATTTTTTTCTTGTCCTTCTGTTGTAAGTGCATTTATATCTTAAATATATCTCCAATGTGTTCTGTTGGTTTGTCAGATTGTTGTACACAACATTGAAAAAGTTTTGAATATTGATGAAAATTTAACATAATTATCGGGGCATTGTAGATTTTGTCAATGGATTGTAAGTCAGTGTAATAAGCATGCATTTAATCATATGATTAATTGCAGTACATAAGTGCTCTATTTTCGTGACATCAAACACATTATGTATGAATGACTCTAGAAAAATTACTCATTAACATTTGAGAATGTTTACTGTATCAATGTAATAAAGTCGTGAAAAAATCTTTAAATGAAAAAAGTATATATTTGACAAATGCTCTTGTTGAATAATACTTATTTTCATATTTTAAAAAAGTGTTTCGAGTTTCTTTAGATCTGAATAGCTAGTTCTACTTTCAAATATAAATTTCGTTTTTAAATGATATCAATATCAATATTTGAAATATAAAAGTTCAATATTCATTTTGCTTACAAAACGTTTAGCAAAACCGACTAGTTTTAATATCGCATCGCTTAAGAAATCAACTAAATTCAGAGTATGTTTGTGAACCGAAATGGGATTCTATTAAAATAATTGTCAAGCAAGATTATGAGATAGCATGGATTAATTCAAAAATTTATTTTGCGAAGTGAAAAAATGCATTACTTTATAATAAATATTTTTCTCTAAATTACGTTTGATTCATTAAGCGACAAAATTGCAACAAATTTTCTCCGGATATCTTGAACGTCTTATCATTAGTCTCTGTGAAGGTGATGGGAAAACATATGATATCACTATTAACATAAACATAAATTTCACAATTTTGAGTGTTGTAAATCTCCAGCCAAAGAATCCTTGTACGAATTAAAACTGAACTTGAGTTTTAATTTGGAGGTATTTTCTTATGCATTACAAGTATTTCTTGAAATATTTACTTTTTTATAAACTGAAAATTCTGCAGAATTTCATATTTGCATTTACTACCGTATAGATTTTTTGGAGACTTCCTCTACACTTCTTTATTGTTTTTATTTTAATTCCTTTTTTTTTTGATAAATGTTTTAGAAATGTTTGGATATATTTAGTTACTTTTAAAGAAACCTTCATCGTTTGATTTTTATTATTATTATTATTTTTAATTTGTTTTCTTTTGTTCATTATTTACTTCTTTTTAGGATTACATTTCTTTACTTACATCCATAACGCGTAACTTTATGAAGAGCTCATAATAAAAATAAATGGTGAAAATTTAATTTAAGGTGATAAATCATTCCATGTACATCGATTACGCTGCTGCATGCTTTCGTCTTTCATGAAATTTAGTTTCAAACTGATGTTAACAACATTAAAGACGAATTGAAAAAATAAAAAATTCTCTTGTAGATGAATGAAAATTGTAATCTTTTGAAGACAAATGAAAAAATCGTGACTCGTAAAATGAAATTTAAGATAAAAACAGGTTTTCAGGAAAAGTCGATGGAAATATCTGAATTGTTGAAACTTTAATTTGACTGAATTCGAGAAATTAATTTTATTGAAAGATGAAAGATATGCAACGTGTCTGTGAATCTCAATCTTCGGTGTAAGATATCAGAACATATAGGAATTAAATGATATTACAAATCTAAGAAGATTTAGTAATTATTTTGATAATTGTAGATAGAAAGAGCAGAGCAAAAGAATTTTCATTCACAAAGGAAGATGAATACCAATTAAAAAGCGTATCGATTCATTGTTTTAATATTGGTTTCGACCACGAGATTTCATTTCAAAAATCGATATTCACGAGTGATTAATTCATCAAATCTATAATACGAAAACTTTGATACTTATTTTTTCAGATATATGGATGGTTATTTGAAATAATAATAATTATTGTGTTTTTTTGAAGATTGAGAGAAAATAATCATTAAAAAACTATATGTGAGTTATACATTTTATTGAAGGACAGAAGTATAAAGATGATAAATCAATATTTTGACATGAGTAACAAGCATTACATTTAATAAGCATCTACATTGAAGAAGTTGGGATGGAGCCCTACTACATTTGTTATCCCCTAAAGGAAGAAATAAGATATATATAGAGAATGGCTATAGATTGTACTTAAACAATAAAATTGTGGGTGCCGTGACCAGGAAATTCATACAGTATTATTATATATTTGACACATCCTTGATGATCAAAATGTGACGAAATGACCATTTGTTTTCAATGAACGGCGGCCAAATGTCAACGCATTGTTAAAATATGTTATTTTTTAAATTGCAGGAAAATGAAATTGTAATTAAAATTCAAAGGAACAAGCGGTCATTTCCTTGACTAATATCTTCTTTTTTCAAGAATAAACTTTTTTTTGATGGCAGAATGAACAACACAATATCACTTGCTGTGCATACATTAGTTATAATGTTAGTGTATTTGTTGTAGACCATTTTGGGTAGATTATTAAAAATATTTGAATAAAATCATTAAAAATTCATGGAATCTTATGTTTTAGTGTGTGATACGTTTTGTTATGCTTTGTGTGTTTCAAATACAACAAGAAAACTCCTAATCAGAATTGATGAGGCGATATTTAAATATGGAAAAAGAAATATCTATAAGGAGAATCATTATTTGTTAAGGAAGGATAAGCGTCCACGACTTCCGCATTGGAAAGTTTGGTCAATCCATTTAAGTAATGTCAAGTTCCCAAATGAGAACAGTGTTATAATCAGACTTGACAGAAACAGAAATGTCT